TCGACAAATCGTGGTTTCAACCTCGACTGTCACCTGTAGGAACTCCTGAAGTCAACTGTCAAGGCGGACACTCCCAGGGCAAACAAGGAAGGGACTCACCTGGGCCCAGTTCGGCAGGCATAAAAAAAACGGTATCCCCGTATGGGCTACAGTAAACCGACCACCCTGGAATCTTCTGTGATAAGCGCGTGAAAGATTATCTAGGCTCGATATAAGCGGATCATTGCCGAACCAGACAATAATGGAATGCCAGCCGAACACCCCTTTTAGCGCTGGCATTTTCCACCAGTGGAGCCTTCCTCGAACCATATTTCTCAGGCAAACTGTCCATTTTCTCATCCGCCGCACCATGCGGCCTCGAGGTCCCGCACCATGCGGGGGATAATTGATTCGGGGCAATCACACCTTGCCCTGAAAAAAAACAAATCCCGGTCTTTCTCACCCCTCTTCGTGCCCGCTGGAAAATCGCACATCACCAGCACACCATCACTAACACATCGAACGGACAGTTTTCAATCGCTGATTTTTTTTTACGTCCACCGCTGGTTTGCAGGGCTGCCCGGGTTGCCAAAACAGTGATTCTGCGCTCCATCAGCGCGGCTGCATACATGCTTCTCCGAAGTGTCGTTTTCGGTTGATGCCATTAATCTTGGCTCAGTTAATGCCAACCGAACACTCGGGCCCATTTTCCCGAAGTTTCACTGCAGCTACAGTCTGTTTCTTTGAGCCATTATTTGGGGGCCCGTTAAAAATGCCCATAATGGCGATAATGGCGGGAATGCCTGCCGAACTGGGCCCTGGTCCCAATTGGGAACATCTTCTACCTGACATATCACCAAGAACCATGTTCGTCGTCTTGCGATGACATGACAAGATGCGGTGCAGTGGGCGGCAGTGCCGCTCAGAAATCAGAGGGTGTGGATCTGTTCAGTTGAGTGGAGAAACTGGATGCAGTGCGTGGAACTTGTCTGGTTTGTGCAGTGGGTCAGTTGTTTCGATGGGCGTTAAAGCCGCGGTGCAGATATCTTAAGAACAGTGACAAACAGTTTTTTGTCTTGTTCCTTCCTGGTCGCCAATTGGCTAGCGAGAGAGTAGATTGTGTTGCGATGAAGAGAAAAAGGAAACAACTGAGGCGAACCTCGCGAACCTCGAAAGTGAGGGGGAAGGGGAAGGGGTGGGGGGAGGGAAGGGGGGAACACACACGACAACGCGAAAATCGGAACCCATGAATACGCCGTCATCTCTACATTGCATAACGAAAGAGTTTGTATTTCAAATAATCTGAGTACCACACAAATATCATTTTCTGCGAATCAAAGGCACATTCGAGGATTTCAGAAAGATCAAAGTTTGGGGTGGTTGTTTCCTCTTTTTTTTTTGGGGTGCAACGAATGTACACATGGCAGGCAAACATGAGTGTCTTTAAATCCTACATGGCATCTCCAAGATGAGCCAAACTTCACACCCCTCTGATCCATTATTGATGCAGCTGTCCACCGATAGCAGGGGGGGAGGGGGGTAGGGAAGGACACCAGCCGTAGAAGTGAAAAATGTTCGATGGGGAAATTGAATGGAGGGTTGGCAGAAACAGTGGGGTGCGCGAAGGTTCAAAGTGGTGGGGTGGGTGAAGGGAAGTAGTAGGGTGGGTGAAGGGAAGCAGCGGGGTGGGTGAAGGGAAGCAGCGGAGTTGGGAGCGGTGGAGCAGAGGGTTGGATGTCGTCACGTCTGCCACCGTCGCCACTTGACATCACTGCACACCGCCATCATTGCATCAGCTCGCTGCTGCTGCTCACAGTTACCGCGCTTGCAGGATGGGAACTGAGGTATGATGGGCTCGGGACAGTGGCAAAGCGAAACTATTGGCTGAGGGGACATAGTGGAAAGGGAAGGGTCGGATGTGGGGAATGGGGAGGGACAGGAGAGGGGGAAAGGGATGGCCGGGAGAGGGGTGAATGGTGGGATGGGATAGGGGGAAAGGGAAGGGATGGGAGAAAGGGAAAGGAAGGGTTTAGGAATCGGGGGATGCCTTGAAAGGACAAGGGTAGGGTAAAGGGTGGATGGTGGGGGAAGGAGGGACGGACACCGATGGAAGGAGGGACGGGGACGGGGGGAAGGTTTGAACGGTAACGGGAGAAAGGAGGGACGGCGGGAGTGGGGGAGAGGAGGATTGGTGGTGGAGAGACGGTGGGATCGAGCCGCTTGCTACCGTCGCGCCCAATCCTGCCTCCTGGGAAGGGCAAGAGGCCAAGGTATCGACGGACAAGGGGAGTTCGGGAATGGGGAGGCGTGAAACCGAAGGTGTGGCATAGGAGGATGTGTCATGGGGGATGGTGGCAGGGGGGAATGCCCTGGAACAAACAATCTCTCACGCTTGAACTAGGACAGGAATGGGATAGGACAGGGGGAAGGAGAAAGCGACAGGGGGAATGGGATAGGACAGTGGAGGGACAGGAGAGGAGGGAAAGGGATGGCCATCAGAAGGGTGAATGGTGGGATGGGATAGTGGGAACGGGAAGGGATGTGAGAGAGGAAAAGGAAGGGTTCAGAAAAGGGGGAAATGAGCAGGAAAAGCAGCGACGGTAGTGGGGGAAAAGGGACGAATGGGGGCAAGGGGACGGATGAGAGCAGGGGGGAGCAGTGGGTTGGGAGAGGGGAAAGGAGGGAGGGAGAAGAAGGGGAGGGAAGGATAGGGGGACAGGGCAGAAAGAACAGGGGGGAGGATTAAGCATCAGGAGGAACGAAAACGATGAAAGGGAGGGAAGGACTAAGGGGAAAGGGAGAGAATGACAGGGGGAAAGGGTGGGAAGGACATGGAGGAAAGGAGGGAAGGACAGGGGGGAAGGGATAGAAGGAGTGGGGGAAAGGGAAAGAAGGACAGGGGCCTATAGCATCGATCGCTGCTCTTCCCACCCTTTCCCCCTGTCCTCCTCTCCCATTCCGGCCCTGTCTGCTCGCTACCCTTGCCTTCGCCGCATCGCTACCAATATCGCTCGCTAAAGCCGCTTGCGAGGTTTGGACGCGAGATGCTTCGCCACCGTCGGAACAGATGCTTCGCCCCGCTGCTCGCTAACGACACCCTGCTGCACGCTAACGTCGCCCCGCTGCTCGCTACTGTCGTTATCGCTACTCACTATCGTCATTGCGCTGCAGTCGCCATGCTGTTCGCTACCATCGCAACCCTGCTCGCTGCCGTCGCAACCCTGCTCGCTGCCATCGCAACCCTGCTCGCTACCGTCGCCGCTCTGCTCGTTATCGTCGCCCCGATGCTGGCTACCGTCGCACCCAATCCTGCCTGTCGCCATCGTCGCTGCTTGCCACCGCCGATTCGTGAGAAATAGAGGGACGGGAGAGGGAAAACTGAACGACGACAGCGGAGGAAATCTAGCGCAATGCGCTACGGGTACGACTGCCGTGGTGTTTTTTGAGGTACGAAATAGCGCAGATATTCGAGCGCACACTAAGAGGCGAAGAATAGAGATAGATCTGAGGCGAATGGCTCTCAGTAGCCCTACGGGAAGGCACTTCAAGTTGGTAGTAACCTAGCCTAACGCGAGAGATTGCCGAGTTTGAGTAGTTTTGAGTTCAAGTTTCAAGTTTCAAGTTTGATGCCTGGCCCCCCCTTCATGCTGTTGTGCGGTGCTTTTCCGCAAGCCCTCCCCAACTTCCCCCCCACTCATCATGCTGCGAGGCACTTTTCCGCACGACCTTCCCCCGATCTCAGAAAGCTCTGCCTGCTCGACTTCCAGTGTATACTGGGTAACGCGCCCTTCAAGCTATAATACTTTGAACTGGCGCAGCGATATCTGCACCGCGGCTTTAAAATTCAGCGAGCAGTTCATTGGTGGGGAGCAACGATATTTGGAAGTTTTGATAGCCCCCGGGATGGAGTCAGTGTTTCGTGAATGGTCGCAGAAGTTGGGAGCCCAAGGATGGTTGTAGAAATCAATGCAACGTCTTACTTTCCTGGCCCTCCCTGAGCTACACCAGCCGCTGAAATCACAAGCCCGGATTTATATTGAAGACTGGGGGTATAGCTTGTTTACACCCTGGCGGCCTATTTGATTTCCACCTGAGTCAACCTTGGTCTGCGGGAAATTCACCGGCGGTATCTTCACCACGTGGTGTACTTTTCATCGGTCAAGCTAGTTTTGAAAGGTAGTTTCGGATTCAGAGGGGGTAAAATCATGACTACCCACACTTGACCAGGTGCCGAAACTTGGTTTAAAACCAATCCCGCCCTTATCTCTGATCACTAAGTACCAGCCGCGCTAGACAGAAATGCAATCCTGACTGTTTACTTGTAGCCCCGCAGTCTCTGAGTGACCGTCGAATTAGTCAGAAACGCTCAAAGGAGGGCTGGAAAAACAAAGTTCACGCGGTGAATTTATCGCGGACCAGGCCAGCGGATTGGATGCAACTAGCGGTGCGGAATCGGACCCAGTCTAAACACGGTTGCACGTATTGTCGCTTCGTCCCATAGTGCTTCTTGGCGCGACGTGAAGGCCCATTCCCGTCACAGCCGTGACATTGGGGCCTGTATCATTGACATTTTAGGTTTCACCTGGTGAAAGTAATATTTCCTCCACAAGTGTCTGTTTTGGGTTACATCCGACAGAACGTGTACATGCATGTATAAATGTTCCGTGATACATTGCTTTCAACTACATGTTTTCGCGACTTTTACAGGACTATAAAACGGCTTCTTCAATTAATGATCTTTGTTGGGTTATGTGACTTGAAGAACACTTGGTGAAACGAAATACAGGAGGAAATGTGGGCCTTGCCTGGATTTCCCAACCTGAACGCCCGCGTTATGTGTGTCCTGCGACGCGGCTTCCGAGTCGCGACTCCCAACCACATCGTTTCCTCCGAGCTTTTCCAGGCAGTCACCTCATCACTTTGCCTAAAATTGGAGCATAAAAGCAGTGCAAAGCTCAGTGCAAATCATCCTCACCGAGTTCCCTTCACTCCGTCCACAAAAGGAGCTCCTTCCTTCCGCCATGGCTTCCAACTCCGTGTTTGCTGCTGTGCTCCTCCTCGCCCTCTCCCTGCCATTCGTTCTTGCTGGAAACGCTGCTGGCGCGGAGCAATCGTCACAGTCCTACTACGAGTATGACGCCGACGGCAACATCATCCTGTCTCCTGCTAGAAACAACAACCAGAACGGCAACGGGGAGGGCACATCCGCTGACGTGATCGATTGGTACAACGACCAGGAGTACCCGACCTGCCCGCTCAAAGCCTGCCCGGAATTCAAGCACTATTGCTCGGGCGGGATGTGCAACGACACGGCCGGCATCCTCGGCCGCTGGAGGGTGAGCGTCGACTCTCGAAATCTGAGATTTGCCAAATGCCGCGTTGGAATTCCGCCGATTCCGATCAGTTAACAAATCCAATCTCGTTTTCCTGTCTTGTTTCAATCATCTACGCCGATTCCGATCTGTTCACTCACCTCGCGTCACGGTAATATCTCAATTCTCCCAATTTCGGTTGTGTTTGCCGCTGCCATCTGACCGTCACCGTGCCGCGCAGCTCCCCGAGCAGTCGTCGCTCGTGTGTCCGCCGGGGCGCGCCGACCCGAAGCCCAACAACGAGTGGTGCATCGGAGAGCTCACGCCGTCGCAGTGCTGCGAGGCGTGCTCCAACAGCAAGGAACCATGCGCCATGTGGCAGCACTACATTGGGTAGGTAACCAAATCTGAGATTCGCGGGTTTCTTCCGCGGCTCGGCCTGTTACTACGTCGACGGATCGTCCGCATCAATCCGTAATTCTCTTGCGCTGCTGTGTGTGCTGGTTCGCGGCAACCAAATTGATATTGTAAAATTCCTCGTTTTCTCGCTTCTCTAATTTTGTCCTTTTGTAGAACTGTGAACCCGTCCGGCAAGTGCCTCAAGTGCGGCATCTGCTGGCTGTACCCGCCCGGCACGGCGCCGCGGTGCGAGACGCAGCTGGACAACAACAACGGCTACCGCATTAAGTACAACTGCTCGCGCATCGGCGGCAGTTGCCCCTACACCAAGAACGACTTGCACTTCCAGGGCGCACAAGGCACGCGCTTTGAGTTCAACGGCGCTCCGGAGAAGACTTTCTGTCTGCTGACGGATCGCAACGTGCACGTGAACATGCAGATGCGCGGATACTACGATACGCGCACCGTCGGCGCGACGGTTCTGCGCAACGGCAAGGCTGTGCGCACGTGGATCCGCGCGCTCGGCTTCGTGTGGCGCGCGGCAGCTGGGGAGGCGGGGCACAAGTTCCGCCTGGTGGCGCGCTCGGGCAAACAGCAGAAGCGCGGGGACGGGTTCCTGGAGCTGGCGGAGATCGACGGGAAGGCCCTTCCGCGCATGACCAAGGAAGGGGAGACTCTCTCCCTTCCCGGCGGCCTCACCTTCGCGTACATCGGGGTCGAGACCGGCGGGTTCGTGAAGGACGTGTACCGTGTGACTATTGCGGGGCTTGGAGATCAAGCTGCGCGTCGCGCACCCTCTGTTGCAAACACCTGACGACGCCGAGGCGCACATCAACGTGGCGTTCAACGGCGTGGAGGCGACGGAGCAGGTCCACGGGATCATCGGGCAGACGTACTGCGAGGGCCGCGAGAAGCGCGCGATGGACTACAACACGCTCGCGCACGCGCTCGGGCACCCCGTCGCGGCCGACGCGGCGGAAGGTGCGGGGTTCCTGGACGGCAAGACCGCGGACTATGAATCGTCGTCAGTCCTCGCTGCGGATTGCAGATTCTCCGCGTTCAACGGGAAGGCGCTGCCGCTGACAGAGTAGAATTTACTGAGCTGACTGCTGTATTCCGATGGGTCTCATCGGGCTGTGCCTCCTCGTTGTATTGTACGCCGTCGTCTTGGTCTCCTCGTTTTTCTTCTGCTGGTGGGCTGATTCTCGTTTCTCTTTCGGTGGGCTGCTCTTCCTCCTTTCTGCTGTCTTCCCTCGGTGGGCTACTTCCGTTCTCCTCTTCAATCGGTGGGCTCAGCCGTACAACACTTCTTAATCCTCTTATTTCGAGCTTGCATGACTTCCGCTTTGGAAACATGTTGTTATGCCTAATTGTTGGGTCACCTTGATGTGCAATAAGATGCCAGTTACTCCGCTTATTGCTGTATCTGTCCGCGTCCACTATGCTGAATTACTATCAACTAAGGGTTACTCTGACTTTACTCTACCGAATTGTGAAGCTCGTGGGACAGCATGAAGTGCACAGCGGGGAAGAATCAGGACGAGGTAACAATGCAGCTCCGTTTGACAGCTCTGTTCAAAATAAGAGGGGCCTTGCATCACCCATAGCCCCCGGTTCACAAGCGGGCCGAACATTACGCGCTCCCATTTGCAATTTTGTGTTCCCTTCCCACCGCACCCTACTTTCGTGTCGCGTTCGCTCTTGTGTGCTTGCGGCACGAGGGTCGGATTCCGGCTGCACATGGCTTCCTGCAAATTGGCACACTGGGTCCGCTTTCGAGCCCGGAGTCAAATATCCCATGTTACACAGGTTTTGGTCAATAAGCTGTTATGAGCTGTAAAACAATGTTATGAGTTGTACTAAACAGAGTGTGCGGAAGACTTTATCCAGAAACTGTGATTACAGAAAGCTGAATACAATGAAGGAAGCGAGCATATAAAGGCAAAATATTGCTAGGCAAGGACCTCGGGACGTGCATGGTTTGGAAGTGTCGCGATTGGTACGGGGGCGTCTTGAGGCCAATTCGGGCCGAAATATAGGCCAAACTCAGGGCCTTAGATGTTAGAGAAAAAAGGCTGATTTAGGGTCCGGAGGATGATTTTCCAGACATGTGGCTAATGTGTTGGCTGATTCACCAGTGTTTCCTTATTGTATGGGCTGATTTTTTTTTTTTTTTTTTTTTTTAGTGAGAGGGCTGAAGTTTCAGCGTTTTTTTACAAATGTTCGCTGATCAATCAGTGTTGTAACAAGAGTGTAGGCTGAATAACGGAATTACAGATTCGTGCTGGAGCCGTGAGTTTCGGCTGTCTATGTACATCCCCCGTCCATCTGGCAAAAGTTGCCATCTACAGCGCCGACGCAGAGGGAAAAGCGAATTTCCCCGACGCGTCGGTTGCGTTGTTGTCACCGACGGCGTGCGTAAAGTGATGTGATTGGTTGTTTAACTAATCACATCATTTATGGACCAATCACCCACCCTCAGTGCAGCACAGCAACGCACCGCACGCCCCCACGACATGGACACCCACCTCACCCGATCTCACCCACCCCAAACCTGCATCCAAGTGTGTGCATGGTGCCCCTACGTTGCGTCGCGTTGCAGCTGGGTGGTGCACGATGACCCTTCTTTTACACCCCTCTCTTGATGACCCCACTGTACCCACTCACCAAGCGAGCTGCACTGTCAATCCCCTGCCTTTCGCACTGGTTTTCACAAACCCTAGCAACATCAGAGCTCGGCACGCTCTCTTCTTTCAGCCATGGATGGCCCTGCTGAAGGCTTGGGCAGCGACGATGATGCAGATCTAGACGGTGATGACGTAGACGGCCTCGAAGAAGCCATGATTGGCCTAGATTTGCTTATGCGCTCGCTTGGCCCTGGTGTGAACCTCGCACCCAGGCCGTCTTCTGCAAAGCCTGCTAGAGTCGAGAACCACGACCACCCACTTATTTGTTCAAGCCCAGATTCGATAAGGAGTGAGCCTGCTACGCCGGCTGCCGTCTCCGGCACCATGGTATTCGAGCCGCCTACAACGAAGTCGTCTGCCCCGCGCACCTTCAAGCTGAAGCAGTCGACGCTGAGCTGGGCAAGGCCATCCTCCAGCGCCGCAGTCGAGCAACATGTCCCGATCAACACATCCCCTAGCCCAGCTTTGGTTATAGACATTTCTGAGGCCATCGATGCCGTCTATGCTGACGCCCTCGTGAAGTATAAATCCAAGTAGACTGAGAGGTTCCCATGGCTAGTTCTAACGAAATCTAAACCCGGTTTCCCTGCCTTTAAGTGCAATGTCTGCACCAAGCATGCCGGAGTCAGGGGACGATGTGGCCGGACAGGGCGAGGGGCGAACGACATGCAGACCAAGGCGTTTCGCAAGCATGCGGTACAACAAAACACAAGCTAGCGATGGAGAAGCAGGAGGCACTGCTGAACGCAGCGTCCAAGCAGCCACAGATCTGTCAAAATACGGCTTCAGACGAACTCCCTAGCCACCTGGCTACAGTCAGCTCAGCTGGAGCACATCTTGAAAAGCCTTTTCATCGGCACTTGCATCGATGAAAAGCACGGATCGGCTCAGAGGGAAGCACATGATTTTATACGCCATGTTCATCCACGACAACGTCCTCGTGACTGAGCTCATGCGGCTGATTACAGTGGAAAAAGCTGACGCTGCTTCTCGACTCAGCATCTTCCTTTCCCACTTGCAGGCAGTCGGTGTCGATCTGCAGAGGATTTTTGGCATTAGTACCGACGGTGCTAGAGTGATGATGGGGACGAAGGCCGTCCTGGTTTTTCGCCTGCGTCAGAAAAACTCGCACCTTGTCTCCGTTCACTACATCGCTCACATGTTAGTGCGTGGTTTTGTCCTAAGCCCGTAACGTTGTCGTGTTCGTACACTTCGCTAATGTTACGCATTGATGTGTTCCACGTGCTGGGAGGCTCTTGCAGCGAAGGATGCGGTAGAGGAGCTCCCCGTCTTCGACATGGTCGACGATCTTATCCTGGCTGTGTCCGAGTTGCTGGGACGGTCGGGTCCGCGCCACGCACGGTTCATGGATCTGCAAGAGATGTTCACCGAAACGAGCCTTGAAGTCCAAGGAATCCACTCGGTTTGGTGGCTTTCTCGGGGGGATGCCGACCGTCGGCTCGTCGCTGTTTTGCCGGCAGTGATTGTGATACTGAAGGAGCTTAACAGCAAGATGTATACTCTGGCCAGCTCCTACCGTTTTCACTTCTTCCTTTACTTCCTGGCTGATGTGCTTGAGTAGCTCAATATCTTGAACAAGACCTTCCAGCAGAGACATGTGAGGTGTTACGAAGATATATATGCATGTGCTTCTACACCACGATTCTAACTATTGTCTTTGTGTGCGTTTTGTCTGTCCAGCTTGATCTGGTGTTTTCGCATGCGCAGATCAAGCGGACAACCAATCACATCAAGAGCCGCTATGTGGACTGCGGCGATGACTTTGGCGGTGGATCGAGCCAGTGGCTGTCACCTTTCCTGGAGTGCCATGGCCCGGGGTGTAACCGTGAAGTGAAGGTGGAGGGAGTCGACAGGGACGGCCGACCAACTTCTTTCACGTTCACTCTTCACGACGACCCCGTGGACTCATATAGCGGCCCAGAGGACCACGACGGCTGCATTCAGATGTGCGCCGAGTTCGAGAAGAAGATCGTGGTGAACCTAAAGTGGAGGCTCGGTGACCTCGACTCGCTCTCTGGAGTCCGCCTGTTCATTCCTGATGCATGGCCACAAAGCAAGTTGAAGCGGAATGCCAGGTGCCTAGAATGGTTGAACTCGTTGGTGACGATGTTCAAGGCACAGCACCGTGATGAGATCTTACCAGGTACGTTTGGGGTAACCAAGAATGTCAATCCCTTCATGCTTGATTATGCTGTATATTTATTTACATCTTCTTCGTCTGAATCACCCTCCCTCCTCCAGGCATCAACAATCAGTGCGAGAGTACTCTCTCTCCCCCACTCCTTTGAAGAAGGTTGCCCACCGAAATAAACACAACTGCGCGGGTATGATGGGGTACCCAAATCACCCTGTACGCCGGGGGTATGTTAGAACACCAAGCGTTATGGACAACGTCGAAAATGCTTAGCAGGTGCGCTGATGAAAATGTCGCCGGTGGTGAATCTTGCTGGTGTGGTGCTTACTCATCTGCAGGGTAGACTCCATCGAAGGTCCCTTGAAATGTTTTTGCGCAGGGACTCAATAGTGGCCCGTCGAAGAGTTTCCCACGACGAAATGTTCTTGTTGTCGTGTTGCCAAAACTGTACTCAATGTCAGAATGAACAAGAGTGATTGAACTAGGAAAGAGTTGGGTACAAGTAGGAAACCCTAAACTTACTGTACCCCATAGTAACTACCCCACTACAGCCTAAACAAACTGTAGCAGATATGACATTTGACACACCCCCATAGGCAAAGTGGGGGAGAGCAAGGGGTCACAAGACCAGTCAAGAAGGGCAAAGCAAGCTCAGGGTGGATCACAAAGTCACCACACTCACTGAGCACAAGCAAAGGGCCACAAGGCCAGTTCACATGCAGAGGCATATATGCAACACAAACATCACAGTGATCTCTACCTAGCAAAGCAAGCATGCAGGTATATATATATATAGGTCACAGTACAAGCAAAGCCTACAGCAAGTGAGGAAAAGTGGGCACAAGCCCTAGCATAGTGCAAAAACGCTGATGATCACCAGACTGAAGTGCCTTGGTGAATATATCAGCAGTGTTGGCCCGAGTGGCCACGTAACGCAGACGAAGCTGACCACGCTGCTGCAACTCTCGAGCCAGGAAGTACCGCAGAGCTATGTGCTTCGTTCTGTGCTCCAGTCTGTGCTCCTCACACAAGGCAATGGCAGCCTTGTTGTCGACGTACAGCACCGGAGGAGAACGAGGCGGCTCTCCCAAGTTGGTCAGCAGGTAGGTGAGCCAGCGTAACTCCTGTGCAGCCATGGCTGTGGCGTAGATCTCAGCCTCACAACTGGAGCTGAGAACTGAAGACGAGTGTGTAGAACGCCAAGAAACTGAACCAGAGCCAAGGCTGAAGGTGTAACCCTGTGACGACC